AAATACAGACTTAGTAATACATGGCAAAAAATGACAAAAGTTTGTACTTCTCCGCCTATAATTTTTACTTATTTAGCTTAGAGAAACCCTCTCACAATAAAAGACACCATCTAATAAAGGAAGAGCCAACAGGACTACATAGCTGAAGGCCAGACTGGCCATGCTGCTGATCCCTTCCAGCGACGCAGAGCCTGGTCACTCCCGCACGGTGCTTCCAGACTGGGACTGTCTGATGGGAGGGCTCATGGTCTCGGGTCCCAGCACCTGAAGCAGCCCCTGGTCCTTGAAACAATGCAAGGTTAGAGCAAGACAGGGAATTTGGGTTCTGCTGGTTTCACTGTAACACATTTCTACTCCACTCAGTGGAAAAAACAGGCACAGGGCAGGGAAAGCTGTCTAAGAAAGGGCCTGGCCATCTCAGAGATAGCCAGGGTGAGGCACAGCTGATAGGGGTGGCAACTCAGCATTCCAATCCTCTGACTCCCAGGACTGCAACTTTATAACCAAATGGCACTGAATGCCTCAGAACACAGCAATGGAGACACTAGATGACTCCAAACTACCATGTTTGCTGGTGGTACACATTCAATGCAGAAAAATTAAAAAGACAATATAATTAAAAATAACCCATGATGATGAATAAAGTTAATTTACTCATACATTCAAGGAATATTCACTGATCACTCACAATGTATTATGCAATTAAAAAATATTAGTTAGGGGGGGAAAAAGAAAGGGGGCATTAAGATTAGCATGTATAACGTGCGGGGTGCGCACGGGGAGGGTTGTGCAACACAGAAAACAAGTAGTGGTTCTACAGCATCTTACTACACTGATGGACAGTGACTGCAATGGGGTATGTGGGGGGGGGACTTGGTGATGGGGGGAGTCTGGTAACCATAATGTTCCTCATGTAACTGTAGATTAATGATACCAAAAAAAAAAATTAGTTCGGTTAATAAGACAAAGGTTTCTGCCACAGAGGTAAAATTTAAAAACTACTTGTGTAGATGCATGTACAATGTAGAATGATTTTGGAATGAAGTGAAACTTTACTACATCAGATCAGTTCTGAAAAGGAAACCAGTGGGGACGGCATTCTCGAGACACCCAGACTCGGTCTGGCCACGTACTTCTCTTCAGAGAACAAGAGGCTGTACTTCATTTCTGCAATGTCAACGTTAACTACCAACTCTTAGGATTTAAAACAATTTTTATCTGCCAAAGACCTAAATCTATTAAACAACCACTAGTACCAAGAACTGAGGTAGAACACACCATTTCACTGATAGAATGCCCTCAAACAAAATGCAAAGAATGACGAAGACAAAATCTAAAGGTCGTCTGGTAATCTAATCCTTAAATCTTCCAGGTTGAATTTCAAGTGACCTATCACAAACTAGCTGCTAATCGTCTTCAGAGGATGTCATTATCTGAGAGCTGGCCCTGGTAGCAGGACAGTAAAGACAGAACAATTCCCTCTCTTAAATTAGGGGTAGCAGTTTCATAAAATACAAGTATTCTCATTCTTCAGCATCCTGTCACTTACATTAAGGAAGCATCTGATGAGCTATCCTTCCACTTACCATCTCCTCTACTCCCCCAAGAGGCAGGCAGGGCAGGTACCATGACCCCCATTTTCCTGGGTTCTCGACACGTGAGGCCTAGCTTCATCCTCTTCCCAGAAGGAAGTTTACTACAGATGCTGCTGACAAGGATTGGGGGGAAGGACTTTGCCAGAGAAGGCAAGTCTGCAGCCCAAGAGTGCTCTGATCCCATATTCCAACCAGAATGCAATGAGCCTCGTTTGAGGAATATGTAGGTTTAAGTGCTATTTGGACAGCACCTAGAGATGCCACCGAGAGCCACAAGGCGCCACCGAGAGCCAGGAGCCTCCTCTCCACTTCCTGTGCAGGGACTGGTCGTCACATTTGACTCCCACCCCCTGAAGACACGGGTCTACTTCCTTACTGGAGAACTGTTCGTCTTCACTGGCTGAGACAGGTTGCCTACAGCATTAATATATGCCAAACCCTGTACAGAGTACTTTTTTGGAGAGTTAAGGAATTTTTCCAAGGGTCCAATCGTGCTCATTTTACTCCCTGACTTCAGAGCAAACTCCCACCTTATATAAACTATATCTCACCATGACCTCCAACCCAAGTCAATTTCAATCATTCATTCAAACCCCAGGACCAATAGTGAGCCTGCCCCGTTTGGGCTCTAGAAATGAACCACCAGCATCTTGTTAGGGGATCCTGCACGTTGGTGCCAGGGAGGTGGTCAGTACCAAGAACTGGTACAGAAGGCCTGAACTCCAGTTCCAGGTCTGAGACTGGGCAAGGCTGCCCTCCAGGCTAGCTCACAACTGAGCACAGTTCCACCATCCTATGCAAGAAGGACTCAAGAACAAAACACCTGAAACATGCAGCTTCTGTCCAGTCTCTGCAGAGCACAATGCAACCAACCCCAGAAACACAAGGAAATCCACTCAGCCTGAGTTAATACGTTGGTGACGTGAAGGATTCCAGGGCCCTCTGGTCACAAAGCAGGATTCAGTTGGGTTCTGTCACAGCATTACAGTATAAGCCTCAGGCTGAGGGCATCAGGAACAGCTTTCATGTACTTCTGACAGACCACTCCCCTCCCCTCCACGGAGTCAGTACATACCAAGCATTAAGACTAGCATGTACAGTTTCTTTTTTTGGGGGGGGTAGGGGTTTGGGTAACCAAAGACAAAATCTCTACAAATATTATTACCAGGGGTAGATCTGATTTTAAACACTCTTCATTTTGAATATATAGACTACAAGTTGCAAAAAGACTTACAGGGAGGTCCCGAAAATCTCTCTGACTTGCCTCTTAGCTGGCTGGCCTTTCCCAAAGAGCAATGGCTCGCCATTCACTTCTCTCAGAACCCAGCACCCCAAAGTGCTAAGTACTTACTCCTAATGACTTCCAAGTGACAAGGTCATTATTTTGCATAGCTGTCACTAAGTTCATCACTTTCATTCATTCAGCAAGTGTTTACTGGGCATATACTGTGTGCTAGCAACATTCTTTTGCACAAAAGAACCTCCCTCTAAACCTTACCCTATCGTAAAACATTAAGTGTGATAAATACATTCAAATGGGACATTAGAATTAAGTGCTGTGGGAAAATTAAGCACTTGAAATTCTAGGTAGGCTAGTCAGGGAAGGGCTGGCTTCATGCAGCACAAAGTCAAGGCTGTGAGTGTCTTGGCAGCTAGCAGGACAGAGCACATGAGTTCGTTCAGTCTGGCATGGTGGTCACTAAACGGGTCAATACCCAGAGGCCACACTGGCCTCCACAGCTGAGGTCCTCAGCAAGGCTCAGAAGTCTCCTCCACATACCTAACCGAGGGTCTGCCCACCACACAACCCCTAGGGACTCTGTTCTCACCAGGGCCAAGGATACCAGGCAGGTGGTGGGGGTGGGGGTCCTGCAACATACATCTCCCTCAGAGTCCAGTGGTCAGTGATGACCATCCATGATGACAGCTGGGGGTAGGGCCACCGCATCACCCAAGCAGATGTGTTGCACAGCCAGCAAGAGCCAAGCAGGGCAGGCTCCTACGACCCCTGCCCGGCCACATGCCACCAGCGCCAACACCTACAACCCTGACACAGGTGAAAGGAGAGCCGCATGCACTCAATTATGAAGTTTCTCAAAGCCCTAAATTCTCTGGCTTCTAATTTCATCTTCCACTTGACAGATAATTCAATCCTGAAACTCAGCACGATGTTTAACACGAGAGAGGCAAATAAATGAACATAGGATCTTGGAAGCTTTGCTAGAACTTTATCTTCAGGCAACCATGATAAAGAGATGAAGCAACATGACTTTTTGTCATTGAGATGGTTTTTAAACAGACAACTAAGTAAGGACAGGTGTCCAACAATTCAAACATAGCGCCTATTAGACTATGACCAGCTGGTTAAAATGTCCCCCCTTAAGCCTAAACCTTAAAACAGAAATAAAACTGAAACCTTTGCTTCCTTTTACCGTATGAAACAACAAATGAATTCTGAGAAGCCATCTCTTAGGTCCATAAAAAAGGGAATCTGTAGTCCAGTCACTTGATACAAACAAGTTGGAACCTAGGAATGGGTTCCTAATACTCTCTCCTTAAAAATCATTACTTAAAATAACGCTTGTATGAGGTAGATGAAACATTTTTCTTCAAACCAAATTATTTTAATTTAAAAGATTAATTCACAGCCCGTTAAGGAAAAAATTTCCATTTCCCCAGCTATAAACGCAATAACCCGGGGACTAGATTCTCTGTCCCCCTTGAACCGGCAGGTTCTCCTCCTTCCCACAGCCCCCGTCCAGCAAGGACGAGACCCTCCGGTCAGTAAAGGGGACAGCGGGGCGGAGGGACGGCTGCGCTCTCGCTGCGACTTGGCAGAACGGGAGACGGACAGACGGAGCTTCGCACCGGCCTGTGAAACCCGCGCGAGCACGGCCCCACCCACCCACCTCGGACCGCAAGCCACGCGGGACCGGCGGCCCGCCGCCCTGGGTCCGGTCGTCCACCCACCCGACTGCGGGCCTGAGGCGCATCTTCCGTCTCGCGGCGGCGCAGCCCCCTCGCGTCCCCCGACAACGACGCGCGGGGCCTGGACCGCGCGGAGGGTGCACCTTTCCGCCCGCCCCGGGGTCGCCCCGCCGCGCGTTCCCCTTCCCAGGCCGCAGCGTCCGCCGGCCCCGCCGCCGCAGCAGAGCCCCGGGGTACCTCCCTCCCGCCGCCCGGTGGACCCCGCGCCCAGTGGGAGGTCGCCGCCATTTCCGGCTACGGGCGCGCCACCCCTAACCCCGCGCGGTGCCCGGCACGCAGCAGCGGCCCCTCGCCGCCGCAGCCCATCACTCCCGATGGCCCCTCGCCCCCCGCGCGGCGCCGCCCCCCGCACACCCCCGCGGCCCGCGCCGCCCGCCCAGCGCGACAAGAGGCCCGCCAGGCCCGCCGCGAGCTCACCTGTCCTCGCTCCCGTCCGTCCCCCCGCCCGTCCGCCGGCTCCGGTCCTCCGTTCCGCGGCGCGGCTGGGCAGCCAGCCGGGACGCTCCTCAGCCGGGGATGCGCCTCGGGGACCCCGCGCGGTGGGGACAGCAGCAGAGGTAGAGGGCGCGGGAGCAGCACCGGCGGTGGCGGCGGCGGGGTCGCGCACGCACACGCACTCTCACGCACCGGCGCGCGCGCCCCCGGAAGGACGTGGGCTCCGGCGGGTCGGGGACGCGGGCGGGGCGGTTCGCGCGTGCGCCCGGAGCGTTAGGCGGAGGCTCCACCCGCTAGGGGCGGAGCCCCGAGTGGCAGCCCACGGGCTGAACCCCTGAGGGCCACGGCCAGAGATCGCTCCTCGGAGCCGGAAGCGCCCGCTTAGCGGGCGGCAGGACCGGGTGCGGGGGGGGCCTTAGGTGCTTTCAAGTTCTCCGGCAGGTGCGCCGCGCGGAAGGAGAGGTGCGGGACTTGTCTTACAGCCGAGTTTGCTCAGCGCTTTACGTAAGACCGAAAACGTAACTGTCCTCGTCAAGGAGTGGGAAGGGGGAGCTGGTGGGAGTCGAGCCGAGGCCGCCGCCCAACCTCGGTTTGGGACTGACACTTGCTCCTCCCCGGAGCGCAGATGGAACTTCCTTCCCGCGCAGCCACCTAAGTGCCACCACCATTGTCCAGCCACTCTCACAGAACCACCTACAAACTGCCGTGGAAGGGCAGAGAAACCAACTTCTGCTCACTTCCCTTCTGTCCAGGTACGACCTCTGTCCATCCCATTGACTCCCTGACGTAGACAGACCCGCCCATCACCTTCCCTGTGCCTCCTCGTAACCATAACAATTCTACCATTCATGGAGTGCTTGGTACACCTGCGCGTGTCATTTTCATCCTAGCCACTATCCACACAGACCTATCTGCTTCTGCCTCCCCACTTCCACTCTCTCCCATTGGCCATTTCTTATTTAGTGGAGTCCTCTTAAAGCAGAAATGGGATGACACCCAAAGCTTATTCTGCCAACAAGCTCTGACCCTCATCTACCTTTGCCTTCTTACATCTCCCTCCCATCGTGCCAGCCTTGAACTGCCCAGGTGTCCCAGGCTCAGGGCCTGTAAGTGGTAGAGAGCTCTGCAAGTCTCCTGGTAGTCATTAAATTGTGCAAAATCAAGCAGGCAGCAAGAAAATGCCTGTGAAAAAGCAAGAAGCACAAAGGCCAGATTAGTATCTGTTGATTCAAGAGGGTGAGAGATTTCGGGCCAGAATCGCAGTTGAAATGAGAGAAATGCACCTGGTATCAATTCAGATTGAAGCTCTTTCACCCTGTGTTGGGAGCTGTAAGAAAGAATGAATCAGGCCTTAGTGAGTCCCTCCTTGACCTAATAGTTCCCCTTTAAGGAAACTCCTAAAAAAATGTTCCCAAATACAGAAAAAGGTGTATGTACTAAGCTGCTCTTGATGGTGTTACTTATAATAATGAAAATGGAAACTTGCCCAATTGTCCAAGTAAGCACACTTAAGTGGAACAGAATTATTAAAAATGTAAACAAAGGCTATATAATAGCACAGAAAATTCTTGGATAGCTCATGAAAGTAAAATGAGCAAGGTGGACGTATATAAAAAGTACAGCATTACAAATAGGTTTATAAACAAGCCAGCCAGTCTAGAGAAGGCAGGAAGGGCACCTATCAAATGCTGACAGCAGCTATAGTCAGGCCCTGTACTTTACATGCCCTTTAATTGGGCAAGGTGGACCGCATTATCCTGACCCTGAGTCAAGGGAACAGGCTTTAGAGAAGTAGATGCTGCTGCTCCTCTCCAGTGCCACCCCTCCACCTGTGCCCTCAGGTCTGCCTGTCACACCGATTGCTCCAGTCCTCCAAGCTCATCTCACAGAACCATTATTTAGGGACCACCTTGTCTTCCAGTCTTGCCAATGGGTTTCCGCCCGGGGCAAGTTCACTATGGATTCAATGTGACCAAAGAAATGACAGAATATGCTTGGGGTGAAAGGGCTACACCTTTATATATAACTTTATTTCCATGGTGGCAGGTCAGTCACTAGAATGCCATCCATTCAGAGTGAGTCTGCATGCAGCAAGCCAGTCTCTGCCTCTGGACCCCTCTGCCCACATGGCCGTCCTCTGGGCCTCTGTCCTCGATGCTGCCACCACTCCAGCCTCTGCTCAGCTCTCCTGCAGCCTTACAGCTGTGCCACTGTGTGGCCCAGAGCACTGGGCGGAGCTCTTTATACAGAGTCAATAGCAACATATTGCCCACAGGTGTGCAGTGAGCTAGCCAGTCAGGGCCAGGTGAGAATCCTGGCCACGGGAACCTTTGTTTTATCCACACTTCCCGAACAAATGGAAGTACAAAACCCTTGATTCACTCTTGTACCCCAAAAAGCCTAGCAGACTCTCACTTACAGGACATTTAAATACTTAATAAAATAAGACCACATGGAACCCATTTCCAACGTAAATAAGGGTAAATGTTGACTTCAGGTAGGGGTGGTTCTTTCCACACGTTGTACCAGCTGTTGTCAGACTTTCCTGCCCAGATGTGAATCCCATACTATCTGGTGTCACTTAACCTTCCCTGCCGTTACATCTGGGGCAAGCCCTGTTCTCAGGCCCCAAAGGAGGTCCAGTGATCTCAGTGAAGGGGCTTCCCACTGGGAACAATCAAGACAGCAGAATGGACAGAGTGAAGCCCTGAGGCAGTCCCTGAAAGTTCGTCTTGCCAGTGGGTTTCAGCCCCGGGCAGGTTCACTATGGATTCAATGTGACCAAAGAAAATGACAGCAAACGTTCTTTGGGGTGAAAGGGTTTATTATCTGGCTTGTTCTCTGGGGTAAGTCGAGCGCGTCCACCCAGAGCACTGGGCCAAGCTCTCTATGTAGTGCCTAAAGGTGTGGAAGTGGTAGCTTAGCAACAGGCCAGTTACATCAGGTGGTTTAAGTTCAGTGAGGGCCCTGGACATAGGAGCCCCAACTTCCCCACACACTCCACCCTCACAGGTGGGTGTGGCTGGCATACCAGAGCAAAACAGAGAAGGAAAGAGGGTGCAGAACACTGGATGCCCTCTCTTGAGTAAGAAAGGGAAAGGAATGAGCACACTGATATTTGCTTGGCTGTGCAGGAGCACTGGGAGGTTGAACAGGTGTCAAGTCATCACAGAGGGTGCGTGAGGGGTGGGTGGGAACAGGATGTTTCTCGATCATGCCTTGCACCCACTTTGGACTTCTGAATCCTGTAGAGAGATACCTTAAAAAGCCTAACAAAGAGAAGCCCCTGAATTGCCCTGGGGACTCCCTACCAGCATCCCCACACGCCAGACAGGCCTCCCGTGGGGGTGTTGTGGGCCCTGCTGTCTGTGCCACCTCCACTCCTCTTCTCTCTGCACTCGCCTTCTCCATTCAGGACTTTGTCATTCATCCACCATGATGCTCACATGGTGCTGTCTGTGAAGAGGACTGTGGGGATGTGATGGTGGCCAGGACACTGGCCTGAGCAGGACTCTCTTCTGGCTCAGTGAGCTTCCTCCACCTGCCTCTGATCCAGGGACAGCCCATCAACCAACCGTTTGCATGTGACCTTCCCACGTTCCACAGTGCAGGTGTCCCTGCAACTAGGAGCTGGGAGGGCTCCAAGCAGCTCTGGCGCAGGGCCCAGGCCTGATCCCTTCAATGGGCGACCCTGACTGGCCTGCGCACTCGCCACAGCTTGCTCGGCTTGCAGCTCAGAGCTCAGCCCTGACCCAGCTTGTGACCCAGCTGGCTCCTCCTTGTCCCCCGTGCTCTTCCTCAGAGGCCCCACAGGTTGGTTGCCAGGAGAGTCACACTCCTTGTTTCTCCATAGCACTGAAAATTTGGAATTTGTGATCATCCATCTCCTTCCTGCCTCTCCCTGGGGTGTAGACTCATGATAACAGGGATCTTGTCTGTTGGTGTGCCACCCGTTCGTCACATTCCTGAATGAAGACACGCCACAAGCCAAAGTGGATTTTTTTCCCCAAGGATTCCTTTATTGACAAATCACCCACTTTTTACTTTAAGAAGTTAAATCAAGTCACTATCCTGCATCCTGCCTTCTCACCACACCCATCTGCAGGTCTAACTCTGGAGAAAGAACGCTGACCGGTGCTCTTCCCTGGCGTATGTGCGGAGCACAGTCCCCCCAGGGCCCCTGAAGAGACCAGCACAGTCAGGCACCAGAGAGCACATCACAGTCTACCCAAGTGGCCTCTCTGCGCTGACGGCTCCTCCGGGGGGTGCACAGATGTGCGCGTGGGTCAGGTCTGCCTGCTAAGAGCCAGTAAGGCACAGAGCCCCCCCCCCCCCCAGACATGTGGGGCCCTGGGTGAGGGAATGCGGGGCTGTGGCAGCTTCAAAACAGGAAAGAGGTTTGTAAGCTCCTGAGAAAAGGCGACATGAGAGTTCCAGCTAATCCAGGACCCTAGCCTGGCCTGCCCTCCAGGGCCTGCCTGCTTCTCGCCCCTCCCAGGCACGCGGTGAACAGGCACAGGCTGTAGCTGCCGCCCAGTCACACCACGGCAGTGGGCCGCACCGCGGAGGGTGCCAGCTCTTCTTCCGCCTGTGCCCTCCCAACCCCATCCCCAGAGGCCCAGAGCCCTCTGGCCAGCAGGAGCTGCCCTGGTCGTTGAGAGGCGAGAGGAAGCAGGTCTCACAGGTCGGGATGGAGGGTGTCAGGGAGATAAGACACACCTCTGGTGCAGGCATGCTGCCACTTGGGCCAGACGCAGAGGTCTACACAGCGCTCCAGACCCACTCAAGAACCCTCATTTTTACATATAAAAAATTATAAACAAGTAAAGCATAAGGCGATGTAAGGCTTATATTTCAGCTTGTGTCCAGAGAAATAATATTTTTAGACTATGAGGCTAAAGCTGCTTTGCTTAGTTTTAGTTTTTGAAAACTCATTGCTTTTAAAAAATAATTTGCTTTTGTTAAAGCTAGACCATTAGTGTGACAATTAGGCAGCTGCTGATAAATCAGTCTCTTTTCTGGAGGGTCTCAGAAAATGGAGTTTCCTTGTTTACCATTTTGAAATAAGAACTGCAGACGGGGCAGAGCTTTCTGGCGACTCCCCCTCTGCACCGCAGGGAAGCAGCAGCTTAGAAGACGCCGCGCATGTCACACTTGGTGCTGCCCCCCCTCCTTCCAGGTCCCGATGACTGACAGGAATCGCCAGGGGAGCTGTGCCCCACCCGACTCCTGCCCCCAGGAGGATGGCATAGCAATCTGCTGCCTCTGCCAACTGTAGTGTGAAGCGTCTGGGTACAAGACCATGTTCTCTAACTCATGCAGACGCAGAGGCCATGTCTGCGTGCAGATGGCACGACTGTCCTCGTGTCGCCTCTGTGCACTTGCCCGCGGCCTGGTGGCTGCTCCGTTGTGCAGAGCTGCAGGTGTGGTGATAAGGGTGTGCCTGCACTCGTTCCGCGGCCGGGCAAAGATGCTACAGGCTTAGAAAGGTGTGCGCTCAGGCAGGGGCTTGTCGCCACTCTCAGCTGGGGAAGGAAAGTTATCACTCTCGTTCTCTCTGCCACCTACGACCTTAGACTACACATGGGAGAAAAAAAACAAGAGAAGAAACCTGAGACAGAGCTCACAGTGCCAGGCAGGCCTTGGGCCCAAGCTGGGAAGTCCAGGTGTTCAGTCCTCTATGTGAGTTCACCTAACGTGGACACAGTTTAGCAATAAAAAGGACCAAGTCACTAACACAGGCGACAGCTGGACGTATCCCCAGGGAGCTGTGCACCATGAAGAGCCAATCCCAAAAAGCTACATACTGTATGGTTCCATTTACATGCCATTCTTGCAATTACAAAATTATAGAAATGGAAAGCAGGTCAGTGACTGCTGAGAGTAGGGCAGGAGGAAGGTGGGCACTATGAAGAGCCTTTGTAGGGATGAACCGTTGTCTGTCTGGACTGTATCAACGTCATACCCTGATTCTGACACTGCAAGATGTTATCATCAGGGGAAACTGTGTAAAAGGTACAGGGGCTCTCCATATTAGTTCCCGTTAACTGTACATGAGTCTACAGTGATTAAACAAGGCGATGTGAGTGACAGATGAGCGCATTAGTGAAGGCTGCCAAGGGTCAGATGGTGCTGTAGTTACCTTTATGGTCCCAACTCGGTCTTCAAATGACTTGAAAGTTGCAGAACTCCTTTAAAGAGAGAGGGAGATGTCAGTGTAAGGAGCAAATGGTTGTGCTGCCCTCCTAAATGTGAAGGGCCACAGGGTTAGGGTCATCCTCTGGAAAAACCTGACAGCATCCTGAGATCTCACTGCAAAAAACACGGCAAGCTGAAAAAGGAGAGGGGAGCACACCCCCTTCAGAGCCCAGCCAGGGCCATTCCAGAGGCTTCCCAAGGTCAGAACTGAGGACAGCCACACCCACCAGCCTCAAGGACAGAGACCTGCATGTGCCCAGCTGGTGAGACCCGGACTCGTGGGCAAACTGCAGACCACGCAACAGGGCAGCAGGTGGTACGTGGAGCACATTTCTTCCACACCCTAAATGCACACACACTGGGGCTATGAAAAGTCCTGTGTGTTATTCAAAAAAATCTCTTACAGAAGTCAAGCAAAAAGAAAACCCAGAACTATTCTGGGACAGGAGAGTGAGGAGGAGGCAGAGGGGAACGCAAGCGGCCCCAGTCCCGTCGGCACCCCTACACAATCAGCGGCTCCCCTCGATTGCTCGGTAGGCACCTCCGCCCCCAGGCCTCTGCAGACAGGGGCAGGGTGGGGGGCTTTGTGGAGGAACAGGACACACCTCTGGATGTCCTAGACCAAGGATCCCCTCCAGGTGGTGTCAGAACAGTCTCCATAAAAGGCCTGTAGACACCTGCAGCCTCCTGTGTGCCAGTTATGTGTGTAAGCCTCTCTGCCCTTGCCTGGCCTGACCCCGTGGGCAGCCCTGGGAAGTTCCAGATGGAGCCCAGTTTGGCACAATGGTCTCCATCAGTCTCACCCACACAAGCTCTTCAGCCTGGAAGGGGTCTTTCTCAACCCTCTACTCACAGAAGATTGCCAGGGGAAGGTGGTCTTTGGTTCAGGGACATGGGAAGCGCGAGCCTGACCAGCCAGAGGTGCCTACCCCACCCAGCCCCTGCCCTGGCTCTGGGAGCTGTGGGGTGAGTGTGTACATTACCTCATGGCCGGCATGCTTATGGAGTGGCGGATGGAGTAGCTGCTACTTGGAAAGCATGGTAGGAGCAGAGAAGGAGGCAAGAGTTAACATGGGACAGGGACTGGCATTCACTGCGCCCATCGGCCCCGTCACGGAGAAACCCGACTCTGCAGGGCAGGCAGCAGGATGCCCTCCACTCCCAGGACTGAACTGTGGCCACCACGAGACTGCACAAGTGTCCCCAGCATCCCACCAGGAAGGAAACCTGACCCCAGGCTCCTCGCTCCAGGCTCCCAAGCGCCCCAGAGGCAGGACGGTGTGGAGGGCGAGCATCAGCACAGGGACAGAGAGAACCCAGGACAGGGCCTAAAAACCGGTGCAATAGCTGTCGGACGTCCCCGGACTTCACAGAAGTTAAAACAACTTCCTAGCCAAACAGAAAAAGTAGGTTGAGTGTGTAAAATTCGTTTAAGATCACAGATTGTTCTGGATCTGGGTCCTAGATATGCAAGCTAGTGTGTGGCTTTGGAGCGCTGGTGTTGGCCTGGAAAAGCATGATTTGAGTTAGCACGTGTCAAGGCCCATGTGGGAGGACGTCTGGCTGGGACCCAGTGCCGCCCAGTGGACAGCACTCAGGTGAGAAACAAGGCGAACTCAGCCTGGAGGGACAAGGCCTTTCCAGGAGGAAGATGCAAGAACCCGACAGCTAGGGGGGCCAGCAGGGCCTTCCCATGCAAATGTGCTTCTTTTTGGAGTCAACCAGGCGTGGGCCAAGGGGTACGCGCTCTGTGAGGCTGGGGCCCAGGCCAGCAGCGGCACACCAGCATTGTCACTGGGGAGACCTGGAGAGGTGGTCACATGACGACACACGTAGGCCACCATGTAAGAAGCGCCCTGGCCACTCCACCTCGCTGCAACACTCCCACAGCAGCTAGAGCTCGCCCTGCCCTGAATCAAGAGAAAAGCCTTCCATGAGGTGTCTGGTGCCAGTCTTACCTAAAGGAGTGTGAGAACGGACGAGCCCTAAAAGGCAGCAGCAGGAAGAAAGAAGAAACGTGGTGTTAGGAAAGGAGAGGCCAGCACCCATCCCAGCCCCTCCATGCAGGGACCACCTGGCCACCCACCTCCAGTCCTTACATTGCCAAGGAAGAGCAGGACATGCATCCAATCTGCAAGTCCCAAATCCATGACAGGTCACTGCTCTCTAGTGTACACTACTGGCAACTCTGTGGCCCCACAGCTCTGCCCTCCTGGGTCACATCAGGGGACCCACATGTCCACAGCCCTGTTTGGAGTTAGAGGGAAGACACCCCACACGACAAGCAGTACAAAGGTGTGTGACAAGCCATGAAGTGTGTGCGCCACCATCTGGACCCTGGGTCCTCCAGGCCCCACAGACCCGCCCGTGTTCCCTGCAGGGCTCCAGCTGGACCAGAACGCAGGCACACTCAGGAACAGCCACACCGTCAGAGCTGAGCACCCTGCTGTCCGGCTCCACCACCATGACAGAAGCCGACCTGGAGACACACGGCATGTGTCTGAGGGCATAGGGCCACCCCCTCACCACCCTGCCAGGCCCTCCACCTCTAATGCTCTAGAGCCACCCCCAACATGGAGGTGATTTCAAAGTGACACACGCTCAGTCACATGGCAGATGTGGCCACACCAGTGCTCCCCTCTGCATGGGAGGAGCCTGAGGGTCAGAAGGTCAAAGGTCACCTGACCCAGCTTTAACCCAAATCCAGTCCTCTCTCCCACTTCTCCCACCCCATGCCAAGGGCACACAAAAGGCCTCCCAGGCTGGGGCTGCTCCAGAGGGGCCCATCAAGGACACTGGCGTGGGACAGCTGTCCTAAAGGACTTGGCCCCAAACACCTCGATTCAGAGTCCTGCTAGGGATTGCCCAGCCTTACACTCCGTGATGCAAACCTCCCTGAATCTGATTTTCATTTTCCAGAAGTAGTGAACACTCAGCCTTGGGCTCTGACCTGGCGAGGCTAATGGGTCTCAGGCTCAGAAACCACCCAAGATCACAAGGTGAGACAATGAGGACATATCAAGGACCCTGAGATACCAGAGTTCACAGAACCCCTGAAAACACAATAGACAAAACCAGTGCACATGGAAGAGTCCCAAGGGCAGACACAGCAGTTGAAAGGATGACCCGTGTGGGCACCCTGAACACCATGTGGTCCCCACCAGCCCACGCATGCAAAGCATGTGTGCAGATTCCACACACAGCAGGCACAGGGAGGCTGGGCACTTGAACTGAGGCTATGTGCCCCAAGTCAGCAGCAAACCCCAGTTCAATAAGCAGAGGGCAGGAGCGGAGGAGCAGACAGAAACCACGTCACCATGGTTCCTAAGGAAAGCGCACGGGCAGAACTGCCTCGTAAGCACAGTTGCCCCAGCTCGCCCTCAGCCTGACAGCGCTGGGCTCCACCCTGCTGCCCGATCTCCACCCAGGTGCTCCGCACACAGAGGAGTGTGTGACAGCGCTCAGAATGAGGAAATGCACCAAGACAGAGAGAGAGCTGTCCTGGTAGAGGCTGGGCTCTAGACACAGCAAACGTCTGCTGCTTCCTTCAAATGCCATGATCAGACAAGCATTTTGAGGGAAGAACAGGCCCAACCTGATGTGCTGCCTGCTCCGGTGGTGCTGGGCCGGCCCACCTCATCCTCCACGGCAGTCTTGGGCGTGAGGCCAGGCCGCCAGTGGCACGTGAGACAGATCTGTCACCGGGCTTACCACAGCGTGGCTCAGCTGGCCAAAGCAGGAGTCCCAGAGCGCGGCAGCAATGACGTCCCATTTAATTCCAAATGAGATGTGTTACGGGACCACACCCAGTCATGTGTTAGCAGGTCAGCGTGAAGCCCACAGGAGGAGTCACCGCAGATCCTCCCTGCCAGCTCAGACCCACAGCTGTGGGAGTTCCCTGGGCCCAGGGCCCCAGGTGTGGGAGGGTGCACTCCTTAGGCGCAGAGGAGACAGGCTGCGTCCAGATCATCCAACCCCTCCACAGGTCTGAGGTTTCTCAGAATAAAGAGTTACAATGGGAAAAGAGTAGTTACATAGAACAAAGGCTCTGGGCATGAACTGTCCTTTGCTCAGCCAAATGGCCACGGCAGAGCCCCCATCTTGAAGCTCCATAAGGCAACTGCCAGGCCTGTGAGGTAGAAAGATGCCCAGCAAGCAGATGGGACAGGGGCCCGCTCCAGGGTAAAAGGTGAGGGACCAGAGCTGAGTGGATTCCCACGTGCCACGAACAGCACATCGAGCCGACAGGCAACCCCAGTATGTGATTCTCTGCGAGGGGACTGGTTCCCTGGGGGTGAGTCAGGGGCCAAGGCTGAGCAGCATCAGGGGTGGGGGTCCCCACTGTTCCTCACAATGTTCATTTCATTCGAATGGCACCAAGAGGGAGGCCTTGCCAAGGATACAGCTAGGAGGGAGCCAGGCCAGGATCTACACTGTGAACTCTGGCTCCAGGCTCCGATCCCCCCTGGCACCACGCCGTGCAGCAGAGGCCCAGTGGGCATGGCCACAGAGCCCAGAGCAGGAAGTACTAGGCGAGCAGCAGCCATGAGCCTGGGGGTGGGTACTGCCAAGTGCAGTCCATGGAGTGCCTAAGCCATCTCACACTCCCTGGCCCCCAAGCCGTGCTCAAGAGACACTCTGGTGGCCATACTGTCCTCAGCCCCTGGGAGAGAACACTCAGTTGGGGTCCCTGACATGGGACCGCACACTCTGAGATCTGGGCCAAACACCCCAAGCAAACAAGCTTGTCCTGGCCGCCAAACCCACCCAGACCAAGTCCCATCCTCATGCTACCAGGTGGGGTCCACCTCTCTTCATGGAATTTCAATGAAAAGCACCCACTTTCTCCTACCGCAAGCATCCAGACACCTAAAGGCACAAGGACCCCCAAGAAATACAAAAATGGCAGAGGCAGCCAATGGGAGGAAGATGCGCCCTGCAAACAAGGGTCTGTGAATGACTGGTCAGGGCTAGTGCAGCCACACCTGTGGTTGCTGAGGAGGCCCCCGAAGCATGTGCAACTGAACCCTGGGGCTCTGGCATGCTTCCCACAGAACCAAGGGGATCTAAAACCCCTAGGACGTGACCCGAATGGCCCAGGTCCCAGGGTAGAGGCGTCTCACCTCATGTCTCCAAGCTTCCTGCTGATGGCAGAGCCCATGGTAGACAAAGCAGCTGAAGTCTTCTGTCCTGCCTGGGAGAGAGTTTCCTGAGTCTTCTTGTAGCTGCAGAGAAGAAACACCAGTTCAGCCAACCAAACAGAAGGGGCAGCTACCACCCCATAAGCCAAGGACACAAAGAACCTGGAGAGTACCCGAGGGAAAGAAGAGAAGTCAGGCAGTTAGTGAGTGCTTGCCTGGCCACCATGGAGGGTCCACGCGGCCCTGCAGCAGAGACAGAAGTGGCACTGCCAGCTCACAACCTCCTAGTGCCACAGCAATGCTGCTTCCTGACTGTACTGAAACTCACACACCCACTTTCTCAGCACCTCTGACTGCTGGGGCTGCACCATGCCTGCCCACACAGAGAAAGCAGCCCACAGAGGCCCAGGTCTGGGGCAGAAACCAGAAAAGTCCTCTTGGTCCCAGTCCCTGCCTCCAGGAAGCTTCTCCTTTCTCCTGTCCAACAGTCCTTTGAAGGCAGAACACAACTTGTACACACCCACAGGGACACACTCGGCAGTGCAGAGGGCCCCAACAGAGGGCAAAGACAATCCCCGGCCACAGTGACTGTCACGGACACCCAAACCCCACATGCCCCTCCTTACAGGACTCCCACATGCATGGCCTCTGCTGGGATCCCCCAGGTTTACTCCCCCTGATGGCGCTTTCCATCTCTCTTGGGTTTCACAAGACTGTGGTAAAGAGGGGAGGGTGCGCCTGCAGGCCAGCCTGCTGAGGAAAGGCTCTGGGGCCTTCTCTGGGGCCAACCTGCAATGCCTGCTGGACGCCCCAGCCTGAGGCCAAGCCTGACGAACTGCTTTCATTTCAAAGTGAGTTAAGTCAGATCACCGGCAAGAAACGCCACCGTGCACCTCCGTACAGCCAGGGTCACTGTAAGACACCAGGTACAAGGTAACTAATAACAGGCAAAGTTTAGTCTCAGAAATACAAATTCAGAACATGTCTTCAAGCTGTTTTTCCTAAAATAAGAAATCCGTAAGACCATGTCAACATTCTGTGGTCCGTTAACGTAGAACACTCTGAAGCAGAGGATTTTTAAGAGAAATCTTTACGGAATCTCTGTTTGTGTCCACAGGGCCAAGCTTGAGAAACTGAAGTCCGAGAGAAGCCTGTGCCAAAAGTCCCTGGCAATGAGGAGCACCCCGAAGGGGTCCTGGAAGTGAGATGTTACAAGTGACTTTCAGGGCCAGAAACCTCCAGACGGGCAGATGTGGCACCCAGATGGCGAGGGCCAAGCCCAGGCAATGGTAAGGCTGTGGGCAGAGCCAGCACCTGCACCCGAGTAACTCAGGCCTGGCTGTGCCCGGAAGTGCTAGGCTGTGCTGTCCAGCCAGGACACCCCTGGGACTTACTTCCACTTGTTAGGAAAATAAAGGTGCCAAGCGCAGACAAACACCAGCCTCCTGCCCTCTCGGCAAGCATGGCTGTCATCAGCATGGGTACCTGCTGACTCTCTTAGGTCTTCCCTTGGGGACAAGCACCCCCATTCAGGGTGAGCATGGGATCCCTGTCTGGCTATCTAGAGGTGACAGCTCCTGACCACAGTGACAGTCCAGTGAGACCCACACCAGGCCATCTTATCGCTGGGCAGCAGGACCAGGAAGACCAAACCCTGCAGTGCAGGACATAGCCTCGCACCACAAAGGAGGTGCCAGAGGGAGAACAAGGACACCAGGTCCCGCCCTCAGGCTGAGCCCCGGTCAGGGGCTGGAGCAGGCGCTTCCTGCCCCTCCCACCGAGGCTGACGCGATCTTTAGCTGTGCTTTCTGCCTCCTGTGACCAAAGAACTCAACATACCAACTAACAGCTGGAATTTATCTGGCGTCCACTCTCTGCATGACTTCAGCCACCATCTACCCGTCACAAGATCCCAGCGGGGTGACCACTTCCCGACCAACAGAACACAGCTTCTCTTGAGCACAGCGGTCTGAATCCAGACCAGCGGGGAGGAGAGGGCGCCGGAGCACCAAGGCCACAGCTCGGCTGCGCGAGCTGAGCATCCGACACCCGTGCTCCCGTCAGCGCCCAGCTCCCTCTAGGCCTCTGGGGCGCTGTGGGCCCAAAGGGACCCAGACACCAGGATCGGAGGGACAGAAAGCTCACTTCCGCTTTGCATTTCCTGGAGGCCCTGGGCTGCCAAAGCCACCAGCAGTCCCCTGCAGGAGTAGGAAGGGGGCAGCTGCCAGGCACCAAGCGCAGAGCAACCAGCGTCCCCTGCCACCCCACCCCGCACCACATCACCCCTGGGTTATCCCAGGCAGCTGTCGCTCCAGTGCCTCCAGGCCTGGAAGCATTCTGACCACTCCTCCATCAACAGAACTGAGGGGACACCTCGGGGCAGTGGCCATATGCCAACCACCCGTGCACACCCATAATTACAATTCTAACTCCTCTGAAGAAGCCTGTGGCTTTTACAGAGGCTTTTACAGGGCAGCAGTAACGAGACGTCTCCTAAGGCTATTTCAGATCAGGTCTGCACTGTGAGCCTACCAATGCCCAAACTGCACAAGTGGCATCCACCGCCCCAACCCAGAGAACATACCTCCCTGGCAAAGCCATCACCTTAACACAGCCCTAAAGCCCCAGCACACAGCAATCCTAACACACCTACAAAACCAGGTTGTACTCAACCACACAAACAGCATAGAATGTGAACTGCTAGCATCCCAAGCCCAGCCCCCCTCGTGACGCAGGCTGCAAAGGCCATATTTGCATAGCCAGCCAACCTGGGGCCCTAGGTGAATCACGACATGCTCAGCAGCAACCATTTCCTTTCAGCCCAACATGGAAGAACTCTCTGCCCAGGTTCTCTGGCAACCATGACAGCATTTCCTCCTAAACAAGAGACAGAAAAACTCCAGAAATCAACTATTTTTAAATACTGTCCCACTCAGTTCACAGGAGTTATAATCAGATTGGAGCACAGATGAATGAAGTGTTATTACTTCATGTAAGCCTCTCAGAACACCAGGAGTCACACTGAACTACAGCTCCGATAGACAAGACAAGTAAGACTATCCACATGTACTCCACGCCCTGCTAACGCTGTGTGTGGCTAAGGGCTTGGTGCCTCTCAGACTAAAGGAACTCTTCCAAGATCCCATCAGCACAACTTGTGCTGTGCCCCCCCACTCAAGAACAGCCCTGAAGTACAAGTGAAGCACAGAGAACTCACTGGCTGGAGGTGGGTCTAGCAGGGGAAGGAGGGAGGACAAGAAAGACAACAAACCAAAATCCCCAGCAAAACCAGTCCACATGGTGCCCACCCACTCCGTGCGGCCTGTAAGCTGAGGCGCGGCTGCTAGTCAGAGACGCTGCCCGAGCCCAGCTTAGGCCTCTCATCTGCGGGCCACATGCCAGGAAGACAGAAGTTTTCAGTGGTCTGACGAACTTCCTTCAGTGACTGCCCCCTTTCCAAAAAAGTTTTAAAGGAAAGACTCATTTGTGTTTGAGAGAAGAAAAACAGCATTAAAAATAAAATAGCCAGGAAACACCAAAACTAGGTTTGTGCCAAGTGCCTCCCTGTCCCTAAAGGAGTGTCAGGAGAAGGGGAGGGAGGTGCTGGTGGCAAAGGCACTCACAGGTCTGACTGGGTCACTTTCTCATTCCATTCTCCAAGTTTCTCAGAAGTTTTCGTATAGCTAAAAACAGAAAGTCCACGATAAATCATTTAGAACTACTTTGACTGAAGTTTCAAACTGCACGCACAATACCAGGGAAAATGGAGGACTAGCTGGTAGGAATACTGAGTCTCCAGCCTGCCTGAGGACAGAGTCCAATGACTCTGTTCAACACCTGCTGTGCAGGCCCAGGTGAGGCACCGGCAGAATCGACCCGTTCTTTTCCTGTCCTGTCAAGGGAGTGTCTGGTCATCCAACTCACAATGGCTCTGGGGAACAGCCCTTGTGAGGAGCAAGGAGGGCACAGCCTGTGGCCCCCAAACTCTTCTGTGACAACTGTCCTCTGGGATTCAAAGCCTATGATTTTTCAGAACTGAGAAATGGGCTTTTCTTGGGTGAGATTTGTGATACACAGTTCAATGGACGTTTCTGCAGGGACATGGCTGCTTAGGCAGTGGCAACACCGCCGCCCTCCAACCCTGGAGAACACAGGTTAGAGGAACAACATAGCTGCACTCCCTGAATTCAGAGCTGGGTCACAGGTGCTGCGCTTGTGGCCACATCACGCTCATGAGCACTCGTCTGCTTCAGCCAAAACCGAGCTAAGGGGTCACAGGAAGTTGGTCTCACTAAGGACCTAAATAATGTTCTCTTAAACACTGCACCCTGAAACATGTTCTCCTGGTCAATTTCTATTTGGACACTAGCTGGTGTATCTACCCACCTTTTAAATAACATAGACCTTAAGCTCTTCGAATAAATACAACTACAGCTGCTAAGTCGCTGCTAAGTCAAAGACACAGGGTCCCCAACTAGCTGCTTCCAGGCAGACACACCTGATCCACCTGCTCCTTTGAGGCGCCTTGTCCCCAAGAACTTGACATTCCATCAACAAGGCAGAGGCACAGCCCAGGGGGACACCCTCTAACCACTGGGGTGTCCCTGCTGCAGACGAGGTACCTACGCGGTGGACACCTGCACGTCGTGCCAACTCTTGGACAGGTTCTGCTTCAGGCCGTCCAGGGCAGAGAGACCCAGCTTCCTTCTCAGCTCTCCACAGTGCCTCTCTTTGGCTGCCAGGACCTGGCGCAAAGTGACAATTTCCTCTTCCACCTGCAAGAGCAGTTGATGTGATTAGCTATCACTACTGCAGGAAGTGGCTGACATCCTTATACACAATGCAACGAGGTTTCTCAGAATTATGGGGAAACTTCCCAGTTACAGAAGCATGACCTGTCTTAGGAACAGAGCCTATAGCAGACATCTGTTTTCAACCGGTACTAGTTCCCCAACTTCCTCCGAGGAGCTGTCCCATCCCCCAAGCCAAGTGGTTCTGGTGGGGCTACCCTGTCACTGTGTCCACCTGTGGGTGACCAAGCAAGGCCTATCAGAGCTCTCCCCAGAGACTGGGCACAGGTGTTAGCAGCGAGAATCCCCTTTCAGAGCCTCTGGGCTTGGATAACAGAAGCTGACCTGTGGGCAGCCAGCCCCATCTGCACCACGGGGATTCCATACACAGTGGGAAAGGAACAGAGCTGACACACGATGGATGGCTAGAAACCCAGGTGACAGGGGAACACCTCTTATGACAACATTTGTGCTGCTGAGGTCAGCTCCAGGCCTTAGTAAAAGCCAGTTACACAAGTTAAAGTGAATTCTCTTCTGTTTAAGGTAGTTTAAGTTGGGTAACAGAAAGAATCCTGACAAAAACCTGAACCTTCTCAGGTCTTAAAAGGATGTGACTTTAGAAAGTAGCGTCCTTGAGAGCAGTTCTCAGTATCTTCAACTACTACTTGAATAGCTATTCTTATTAAGTCCCTTTTTTTTATCTGTCAAAATTAAAGTGTTATTTTAATGAATTTTTCAGACATTTAGGATCTAAGCAGCATCAGTTTAATGCCAAAAAGACTTTCTTTTACCACTGCAAGGAAAGTTTAAATATATACCAATTAAATAGAGAGTTCAAATGTTTTAACCTTTATTGTAGACATGAAAATGCAAGTTGCTCTACATGGCATTTTTCTAGGGTTTAACCTAATGCCAAGTCCACAGCAGCTTGACCAGAACTGTTGCAGAATCATACATAACATAATAATCAAATATATCAGCCTCTATATATGTGACACCATTCTGTGTTGTGATTTGATGAATGCCAAAAAGAGTAGCCCCAAATCTCCCCATAGGTCTCATTTCTTGTCTGCAGTTCCCACTGCTAGTATCACCTCTTTGCAATACGGCATTTTTTTTAAAGGCCAAGTAAAAATTCCTGGAGTTGAAGAGCATAAGGAAGTATCAGGCTTTCATTTGCACAACAGTGACCAATAGTATGGTAGCATGGACTCGTGTATCAGATCAGTTAACCATCACTAGAAAGCAGAGACTGCAACTGGGGCAGGTGTGGTCTGGGAACTGTGGAGAGGAGGTTGAAAAGTTTGTATCTTGAAGTGATAACATGCAAGGCTCCAGAGAGAAAGAACAAATAGCAGTGATGGAAGAGGATGCTGAGAAGGGTCAGAATTTGAAAAGGCTAGGGGCAGCCTCAGCAGAATTTCTTTCAGTCTGCTCTGATGATGACTAAGAAGAATAAAACATTACAATAGTCATTGGAATTGTGCAATGAGTAAAAAATAGAAACCCCATACCGGCAGATAGGATGCCCTAGTCTGTTTCATTAGCAGAATACAGGCTGTGCTGAAGTGAAAGTTCAGTAGTGTCACTTGCTGGGTCAAATTCACTTTGATTTGGGCATGAGAAAATTTCCTGTGATCCTGAGAAGACCTTCTTGGTGTTTCATGTAGGGACTATACATTTTTATCGTCTTATTAAGTCCCTTTTTAAGTGATTGTTTTCATTAAGACACTAAAAAACAACTCAAGAGCCCTGCATATCACTAGATTCTGTTTCAGAAAACAGATGGAATAGAAATAAATTAAAAACACAGGCTTATCCAAGGCCAAACTCACTGTAGCAGTTACGACTGGCGACTAGAACCAGTTCCATTTTGGTGCCATGAATGATGGGGCTCAAGATCATGTAGTCTGGCTGTCTGGGGACATGCAGTTAAGAAGTGTAAGCGAGACAAGAGCTTCCCCACCGCACAAGTCACCTCTGAGAAAGGCCTTGTGGTTTTACCCTCCAAGCCCACATACTCCGAAATAAAATGCACAGCATCAACGTCCCTGAGCTGCATGCGGCGTCCCCCACAACCGTCACCCAGATCAAGCTGTGCTTTTCCCTGTGACTGGAAACTTCATCCTGGGGCTGAGACTCACCTGCACAACTCGCTCTGTTCAGCCCTAGGACTAGACCAAGTATGCACCAAGATGCAGGTCATCTCTGAAGAGGCTGGCAGTGCCCAGCCTCTGCCTCACTGGATGCTATGGCCAGATGTTAACAAGTTCAGTTCCCCAATTTTGGCATCTCAAGAGTCACTAGATTCTGCATCACATGGTATAAAGAAACACTCTTCGTGATATGCCTGAATTATACTCGGAGGCTTTTGTCCTTAGCTTCTATGTCTTCTTAAGGGACTTTCATTTAAAAAAGAGCACACAAAGCTCTTTTTACAAAAGAAGTACTTTAAAAAGAAAAACTGAGATCCAGGGGCAGAGACAGATTTATGCAATCTTAAAAATGTCAGGTGTTAACACCCAAACTCCCATGTAATGATGTGCTCAGGGCAGCTGTCCCTGTGTGCACATGCCCCCATGGAGCACCTGTGAGGAGCCAGGCACACACAAACCAAGGGCTGCGAACAGCTTCTGTGGGGCTCTAGGGATGACCTTCCCAGGAAATTTCTCCAGAGTATGGCCATCACTCAGGCACCTCATTAGCCTGAGAGGGCCTGGACTCATGGTCACCCTTGGACAGACAGCCAAGACACAGCACCTTTGCAAGCTCGGCTCTGAGCTCCTCCTCCTCAGCCTCTGTCAAGCCCTCAACAGCAGGAGTGTGGGCAGCCACTGCTGTGTCGACAGGGACATCTGTGATGATGTCGGACAGTAGACCTTTGTTAGGAGAATTCAGGTTGATATCTGTCAGAGATAAAATGACATTTGAAAGTGTCAAAGAAGAAATTATAAAACAGTAAATAAGGTAAAAGTCTCCACCAAGGCAGAAAGCAAAGAGTGGAAGGACAGGGGAAAGAGGATGGAGGGTGAGGGGTGAGGGGAGACCATGGAGACTAACACCTCTTCTCTGAAAGGTTCTGCAAAGACGGTCTGGGCCATTAGACTAAGGGCCGCCGCATCTACCACCCAAGTGGTCTGAAGTACCTGTGATGCTGCCTCAGACCACTAGGAAGCCTGGAGCCTTACCCAGCCACACCCTAACTCTGTTTCTCCCGTGAGAATACTATCTTCTGACACAGGAAATCTCTGCCAGAAACACAGCAGCCCAATCTGAGATCCATTTCTTAGTGTGAAGAAACGTAACGTGGCTGTAAACACAAGCACCACTTTCCCATCAACTGATCTGCAGAACACCTAAGGTTACATGAGGAACATGTGCTGGTCATCCAGTTCCTGCCAGGAATTGGCAAAAAAAGAATCCCTTTAGTCCAACTCTGACCCTCATCCCACAGCAAGGGGGTTGCAGCATGCAGTGAGTGCTGAGAGGACACTGCCTCCACACCTCTGCTACACCTGTTTAATTTCCCACACTATTTTTTCTTATGCCTCTTCCTGTCTGCACTCCAAGTTTACAGGACACCACATAAGGAAAAACTGGGTCTGCCTCAGTTCTTTCCAAGTTCAAACATGACTGTCCTATAGCACTTACACACAATCAGCATTGAAAACATCTTCCTTTTCAATGAGCACGTTCTGTGAAGAAACAGACTTTGTATGGCATCTGGCACGTTCAAGAATAGATTAAAATAAAAGGTGTAAAGGTCAGAAAGAAGGGAAAGTGTTTTAATTGCAGATGTATCTACTGCAGGAACCCTGGAGTCGGCTAAAAGGTGACCGAATACACTTAAGTCAAAGACGTACTACTTAGCTGGCCATGCCCACTCCTTTCACACGCATCACACAGCTGGGGCTGCAGCCCGCCTTGGTGCTTAACAGACAATTGCTAAATAAAAGCATGTCCACTTCCTCTCCAGCCTTTACACTTGCCCACTTCCCGCTGGCCAAATGAAAGCAAACGGCTAAGCCCAACATCAGTGCAGCTAGGAAATAAAATCTGCCTACTCTAATGGGAAGATCTAAAACTTGCATAGCAAAAGACATGGATATATAATTTTCATACAAGGAGGAAGAAGTGAATTAGGGAAGACCATCCAACCTGCCATACAGGCGTGTCCACTGCCTATGAGCTCAAGCAAGAGGGAAAAGCAAACAAACAATTATTAAGTTCAGGGTGAATTCACTGAATAACTTTTGAATGGAGTTACGTATACTGAATCTATCTTAAAATTGTATCTGCCACTGTTGGGAGAACAAGGGGCCAGAATGTAAGCAGGGAGACCAGTCAGGAAACTATAGCAACTGAGTGGGAGATGATGGCAGAGATGGCCAGGAGCAGCAGATGGGAGGCGAGGTGTGTTCAGCAGACTTGGTGATCCTTAGACGACACAGGTTCCCAGAACGGTAAACATCCTGAGATCACGGGAGTCTCACAAAACAAAGATTTGAAGTGTCCTGCCTGAAGCTCCAGTACATTGCTGTTGAGAAATCCTGGCTTGGGCCATTTATGATAATTCCATTCCTCTCACTGATGATTGAGTCAGGAAAACACCTGTTCTCATCCCGATCGGTAAGACCTGAGAACCTCTGTAGAGTTTCCAGGGGAGGTTCACTTACTCATGACACAGACACACAGAAGAAACTGTCTCTCTTTCCTCTGAACAGTGTTTGGATGTGAGGACTGGGACTTCTGAAGACAGCTTAGGAAGCACAGGGGCGGCCAGACTGAGAACAAAGTCAGTGAGGATGAAAGGACAAAAGAAGGCAATGAAATGGGACCTTGGCACACCACGGAGCTGCTGGATCAAACACCCCCAGTTCCCCGACCCCCAATCTGGTGTTAGGCAATAAACCTCATTATAGTTTAAGTTAGCTTGAGTTGGACTTTGTTACCTAAGAGTATCCTAAATAACTAAGAAAGGAAACAGTTTTAGGAGACTAAAACACAAGTCCCATTTTGTATGAGTGTGGGATTTGTGAGTCTAGACCTCTCAATGTGTGGATTTGGAATATGAAAGCGACTCTGGGCCTGCGCTTGGTGCCTGGACTGGCAGGCTGCACACAATGAGTATATATATTGCAGGAAGTGCAGTGAATAAGACCTTCACAGTTTACACCATGAAAGACAGCATGCCTAATATCCCTGAGCACTTTGATTAATTATTCCGGCCTTTTCCTAAAGTGTAGGCAATATAACTCCTCACTTTAAAGTCATGAAGTATATACTTATTTATATCTTCTGTCACATGGATACTCGGTCACTTCTCCCTAACTAAACTATAATCTCCTAGGATTATTTATTCCATATCCAGCATAGAACCAAATAAAATGCAAGGCACTTAAGCAGGTACTAGCAAGTATTCACTGAATTATAATCGTTCAAAATTATGATGTTTCATTTTATAAATGTCAGTTTGAGAGTCATTTTGTGGACTGCGTTATATGTCATAACCCAAAGGTTGCAAACTGGAGACCTACAAATGTGTATCTGTGTCACTTAATGTTTCAAAATATCTGATTTATGTAGTAGCCAATATTTAAAACTGGGACATTTCACATTAAAATCTGGATTTCTGGCTTCAAAAAAAAAAAGCATGTCCACTTCTCTTTATCAATGGTCAATGGATTCTGATTTTTAACTCAGATCAACCTGCAAGATTTTTACTTCACCTGTATCCACTATGCTGAACTTACTCAAATTCAGTAACTGCTTTAAAATCTCTACAATGTTTCTCTTCCACTTAAAAAAATGAATGTAGGTCTTTGGACAGCTTCTGCCTATAAAGCTAAAATTGGATACCATGGAAATCACCCCCAATAAAAAGAGGGCACTTAGCAAACACGTCAGGCACTGCACAGTCATTCTGTGTGATACAAATGCCACCAGACCCTTGCAGGCAGATGTCACTCACATCCTGATTTAAGGACACTGAGGCAGTAAACTGTCTTACCAAAAGATCTACAGAGAATAAATGGGGGACTGAAGCCACAGACAAAACTAAGGGGCTAGAATCTAGAGTCCTTCACCCTGGGTGAGTCCCAGCTCTCAAGCCTGTGTAATCATCTTCAAAATGGGGGTAATACAAGGACAAACCTAAATGATTACGCGAAAGTGGAAAAAGATAATTTGAGAAACAGGCTTACTATGATGTCTGGCACATAACAGGTGCTTGGTAAATGTCCTTTGTCAATCTAAGATCAGAATCCAGTGTTCATGATGCTTAACTAATCAGAGATGCAAGTCAAACAGTGAAACGCCTCCTGAATCTATATGAGCCTGGGGCTCCTGATGCTCAACTATTTTAAAAGTAGGCATCAAAGACAGAAAAACCTACAAAATATATCAGAATCCAGAAATCTTAATGTTTCATTAATACGGACACACAGTCAAAGAGCAGAAAAGAATCCTGAAATTATTCGGTGCAGTTATGTCAACAGAAATTTATCATCCCCTCTCTAGAACCCCGTAATGAAAGACACAACTGTATCACCTTCTCAAGATTTTAACCTCCTGGGCCAGCTCCACGCCCCAGAGACCATCTCAAACTGGTCTGGGGTATCTCTTCTGGAAACAGACCTGGTTCGCTGGGTGTGCCCCTGACTCACTGCATCCTTCCCCGCGAGACAACCTGGGCTCTGAACAGCGTTACCACCCAAGGGGCGCTACACTGAACGCGCTTCACCTCCCCGGGAGCCGCGCGCAACACCTCGGCCCGTGTCCAGGGCCAGACGGAGTCCCCGGGGGCCCTGCGAGAGGACGTAGAGCGGCCGACCGGGCAACGCCGGGCGGGGCATGGGAACTGTCTGGAGTGCGGAAACGAAAACTCTGGGAACGGGGGAGGGCGCCCGGGAACCCGTCCTCCGAGCAGTCCCAGGACAGCGATACGAGCCGGGAGCGACAGACACGCACCACGGTCATAGAGCTTGGAGGCCGGGCGCCTGGGAACTAAAGAGGGGCCGCGTGGCGGGCGGTGGCCGAGGGGGCCGAGACATGACCCAGGGCAGCGGCGGAGCGGGCCGGTCTGGGCCCCTCGGCGGCGGCGACGCCGGGCTCGCAGGTACCTTGGCCAGCGGAATCCATGTTCAAGCGGCAGCCGGACCACAGCTGGGGCCGGGTCTGGGGTCGCAAGCGCTGCGAGAGCCGAGCAGGCCGCACCAGGAGACGCTCGCCGCGTACACACTCCACCGGAACCACCGCAACCCCTACGGCATTACGTAATCAGGGACGAAACAGCCCACTTCCGCTTTGTGCGTGCTCCGCCTTTTCCCCGCCCCCTAGGAGCAGTGTCCAATGTTGGCCCTGTCCCTGTTCATTCGCTCCAATCTGATTGGCCGGGGCTGCGGACGAGGCAGGACAGGCCGGGTTTTGAGGGCGTCCCCACCAGGTCGGCTCCACCAGCGAGACGCGCAGGTAGAACAGTCCGGAGGAGTGCGGGGAAGGTGGGAATTGGGAGGACCGCCCAAGTTGGAGCTTTGGGGGACGCGGGGCTTGGCTCCTTGGAGTCTCTATGGTGTTTGCCGCTGCTTGAGAGCACCATAGCTCGGGCACCATGGCGGGTTGGATTCAGCCGCTCGAGAATCTTCCAAGGCCCGACCCTCTGATTTTGGGGATAGCCTCTTCTCCCCAGTCTGTTTTGTTATTGTTCATTTTTCGTCGGTCCTTTGTGGGCGTTTTTTTATTGTGTGGGGGTCCCGCAAAAACGAGCTGCGGTTCGGCCTGTGGTTCTGCAGGTGCCGCTGCCTGCCCCAGGCTGGAGGCATCTGTGCGGCGCGTACCGGCGCCCCTCGCTACTTTTCACAGCCACCCCGTGAGCAGGTGGAGCCCTCTTCACGTTACAGATGAGGAATCTGAGGTCAGAATGACTCGCCCAAAGTCAGCTAGTTGAGGAGCTTCCAGCGGACTCTGGGACAGGAGTTTGCCGGACTTCTCGAAGGACAGCTGTGTAATACTGGACAACCTGATGCCACTAAAACAGGTCCCACAGCTTCTTTGATTTCCAATTGCCTTAGAAATAGGCCCTTAAAAGGTATTTAAACCCTTTAGAATCTGACTCTCTGGACTGTACCCGCCCCCCCTCTTCCATCCAAGCCACTCTGCATGTACTTGTCCCTGAGCATGGAAGCCCCTTCCTTCATCTGGTTACATCAGCTCAAGGCTCACCTCCTTGACAGGCGTCTTCCTTAGTCACCAACCTCTGCTTGCACTGGCCCAGGGGCATCATGGCTGCGTCCTGCTCTGGTGCAGTCAGTTTTATGTCTGTCTCATTTGCCTTCTTTCAGTTCTTTCAGAGTTTCTTGTTTAACCCACTGTAAGTCCGGGGAGAGGAAATCCCGGGGCAAAATACCTCTAAAAACCGAAATCAGTCAAAGGGAGAAATAAAGTTTAAAACCCATTTATTGCTTTCAAAACTGCAGTCCGGCCCATCTCTACTGCTCCAGCAGCAGCAAAACGGGCCCTGCCCTCCCCTCTCAAGTACAGATAAGCCCTCCTTGCCCAGGTAATTACCCATTGATATGGATGAACTTTTCTCCACCCCTGAGGATATGATGCAAATACTTCTTTCCACCTCTGAAAGCCATTTGATATGCAGATGTACTAAAGCCAGGTGAGATATTCTGGAAATGTTACAATTTTACCCACACCCATCCTGACCAGCCTTTATCTCCAGTGGCTGAGGACAGCTAGCAGTCCCTGCTTTGTGCAGTTCACCGCAGATGGTAAAGGAGCTACTGCATTATGAATGGTGGTGAGCAGAGGGCTTGGACATTCTCTATTGCACCACTGGGCCAGGAACAAAGCCCAGCTCAGGCCTGGCTCAAGGAGTCACCCAGCAGTGAGTGGGTGGTGTGGTATGTGGACATGCCACTGTGCACCTGTGACTCTGAGTCTGTGGTCCCATGGTGAACCCCTCCTGTAAAGCCAGGATTTTGGAGGTGGGAAGGTGACCCTACTATGCAGCACATCACACTCCTGGGAAGGGCAACTGCTAAGACCTGTTTTGTAGCCCTCCAGTGCCAATGCCCTTTTACAGCTAGGGATGACTTGTACAGACCTTTCAGCATTCATCTTCTCTCCCTGTAACCGAAGCCTGGGGAAGGACACCTCATGGGGTCCCATAGCCCATGTTTCCACCACCCTTTCAGGTGATCAGAGGCACCCATTACACAGTGTTGCCAAAACGGGGTCAGGTTAATCTCTGCATTCCCTTTAGGAGCCAGGAGCAGACTGGGACATCCACAAGTGTTTGAGGGAGGAGGAGGAAGAAGGGAAGAGGGATTGCCCCAGAGAGGGGAAGCACCAGGTCCCTACCTACTGCCCACCCTCCTCGAGACACCAGGTCAGGATCCCTAGGAGGGCCAGCTTTACTGTTTGGGGTGGGGAGGAGAATGGACCCAAGGTTCTGAAGGTGTGAGAATGCACAAACACGCCAGGGGTGCATGGACTACAGCCTCCAGGGCAACTGGAAGTCCTCCAATTCCAAGGACTGCAGTGAGTCGCCTCTAGGTTCTTGAGGTGTTTGCGTGCCAGGAACAGCGCAAGCTGCCGGCGCCGCCGGGGGCTCAGGCTCTGGCCCACTAACCAGGGGAAAGTGAGCCCGTGCGGCTCCCAGGCCTCCTTGTCCTGCTCGTCCTTGCAGCGCGCACGGTAGGAGCGCGCACGGTAGGAACGCAGCGGTGCCAGGAACCATTAGTTATCCACGCGGTAGCGCGCGCAGAAGGCGGCCTCCTGTGGCAGGTTGTGGGCGCGCAGCCAGCGGATCACGACTGCGAGGCCCTCGAGCGCCATCACATTAGGGTAGCGGTGTTGCAGCAGGCGCAGTAGCAACTCATTGACGCGGCTGCCCTCCAAGTCGCTGGATGGCAGGGGGCGCAGGGGCCCCGAGGTGCTGACCACTTCCTTCTGCGTGCGGCGGGGCAGCCGCACTGGCCCCGGGTAGCGGCACAACTGCCCTGCCACATTGAGGTTGAAATGTTCCGGCACAGAGCGCACCACCAGTCCCTTCCAGCTCTGGGGCATGAGGTCGTCGAAGGTGGCATCGAGCCCCAGCGCCCCCAGCTCTAGGTACATCATTGTGGCCCAGGTGGCCGTGAAGCCACCGATGGACCAGCCGTAGACCACCACGTGCGCAGGCGGGAAGTGCAGGCCGTGCAGCGCGTCCTTGACAGCCACGTCCATGGCGCTGGCATTGTGCTGAGGGAACGGCGCGCCTGTGCCATCCCCGAAGCCTGGGTGGTTCCAGCTGAGCACCGAGTACCCCGCCTCCAGGGGCGCTGACAGGCAGCCCATTTCGTAGAAGCCAGCATTGCCCTCGCAGCAGATGACGGACGAGTAGTAGGCTGCGGCTGTGGCTGCCCGGCTGCTGGTGGCGGTCCATGAACATGGTGTCAATCTCATTGCCGTCACAGGCTACCAGCTTGGCGCGCCGGCCACGGTAACGCTCCACGAGGTCTCCTGGCCTTGCCGCAGTAGCTGCAGCAGCGCACGCATCATCAGGAACGTGGAGCCGGGGTACACAAGCCAGCGGCCCAGCGAGTGGGTCAGGGCGTGGCTGGCAAGCTGGCAGGGCAGCTCGCGTATCTACTGCAGGAGGCACTGCGCCTGGCTGCGCGCCCCACGCCACGGCCGACCCGGTGCGACCCCATCTAGCGCCTCACCCTGCAGCAGCCACACGCCCGCCACAGCTGCAGTGCACGTCAGGGCCCGGTGACTGCCGCCACCCCTGCTGGTGGCGCGAATGTCATCCCAGAGGAAGTCCACTGGCCAGTTGCGGAAGTTGTAGGTATAGTTGGCAGTGAGGTAGATCTTGAACACGTGCACCAGTGCCTTCATGAAGCAGACGACACACATGGGCATCGAAGCTATGTGGCACTCCACAAGAGCCCTAATTCCCAGTTGCCACTGGGTGGCAATCGTGGCAGGGGGCCCAGGCCCCGCCGGATGGGCGGCTGCAGGGATGTGTGCCGTGCAGGGGCTGTTTTGGGACAAGCCTCCTCAGGGCTTGGCCCTAATGGCCTTTGTGACCTGGGCCTTCCAGGTCCCAGAGGAGGTAGCATCTGCCTGGCATGGACAGGCTTTGTGAGTCACTGTTACTGAGGGAAAAGGCAACGCCCGGTGACGGGCTCACAAAGGGAGTTGCCTGGTGTGGTGGACCTCAAGTTCTGCCTGCCCCCAGGACGCAAGCCCTAGCACCCCACAGGCAGCCACACCCTCCCGTGGCCCCCCTCCCCCTGCGTCTTCCCAGCACCCTGCTCCACCTGCCTCCTACCCACACCCAGGCCCACCCACACCTTGAGCAGCACCCACCTACCTTCTTAAACTGAAGATGGAAAGGCTGGCTGGAAATCGACAGCCTTAACCTCATTGGGGTGGGGGGTCTCCTTGGTAAAAATGCATGTGCTGAAACAAGCTTGCTGTGGGACCCTCCTTCACCTCTTGAAGTGCCCACACTGGTGGGGAAGGCAGCTAGGGTCAGGAAATAGCCCTGGGGATCAGGCTGTGTGAGAACTTGCAGACAAGGTGGTCTCCAGGAGAAGGCTGGGCGCAACGGTCCCCTGCCCCGGCCTGTGCCAAGTGGCTGTGCCCCAGCCCTCCCAGTGCAAGGGAGCAGCCAGGAAACCCAAAAAGCCTTGTCTCTGGGAGAGCCAGAGGCCGGCTGGGGTGGCTGCTGCAGAAGCAGAGAGGCAGTGCCCCTCAAGGCCTGTGGCCCAGGCCCTTCCACACCTAAGCTCCCCGAGGGCGAGCACGAGCCGGAAACCCCCTGCCTGTCCCGGATCCTCTTTCCACTGGCGCCAGCAGAGGCGATGACCTTCTCCAGGTGGGGCCTGCCTGGCCAATGTTCCTCTTTCGCCTCTGGTTGAGCCCTGCTCCCCCTAAAACTGTACCCTGCAAGCTGTACCTTCCTCTTTTCTGGAGGCCTCTGGTGGTTTCCCCTTTTTCTCCTCACCAGAGAGGACCAGCCCACCTGAGGAAAAAAAGGGGCAGGGTTAAAGGCCACCAGGAAGAGCTACGGAAGAGCCAGACCCTGGGGGCTCATTGTACCATTGCCTGGACTTGAAATAGGAAATTTGGCAAACCTGGCCAGACCCTCAGAGGCCCAAAGCCAGGCCCATCCCAGAGATCCCAGCCTTCTCTCCTGCTCCGCACGTCTGAGTCTGCTGCCAGCCCAACCGGACCCCAACCACCAGGTTGGGGAAGTAGACTGATGACTGTTGCTCTCCTGAGGGGATGGGGGGCAGGAGGGGCCAATTGGCAGACTGAATGGTTTGGGAGGGTTTCTAGATAAAATATAGAACACCCAGTTACACTTGAGTTTCAGATAAACCACAGATACTTTTTGAGTATAAGTATGCCCTAAATTTTGTATGAGACATACTTATAATTTTTAAAAATGTTCATCTGAAATTGAACTTTCAATTTCAATTGAATATCAAAGTGTATATCCTGTTTTGAGGATTGTTGTTTTGCGCTTTTTTTGCTAAATCTGGCAACCCTACCCCTGGCACCCTTCTCTGCAGCCAGGTGAGATCTAGATTCTCTCGATTATCCTGCCCTTATTTCATATTGAGCTGCTCTACTCACTGACCAAGTCCTGAGGACCAAGTGGGTGTCTCAGGGCCCACTGGGGCACCTGGGCAGGGGCCCCTGTTCCTGTGCCCTCTGCCCTGCAACCACCTCACCTCTTTCCTAGGTTTTGGGTGGCACCATGATGAAGGGACCCCACAGGGTACCCACATGGGGTCGAGGGCTAGGCAGAGGCCCCCCATGGTGATTGGTGGTTCTCATCGTCTGGAGGTGTCCACCCCAGCGCTGTGGTCAGGCATGGGGATGGAAAAAACTTGGGGGCGGGTGGAGACATTTACTCTCCCAGGAGCCTCTGTCATAAACTTGGATGCTGTTTATCCTTGCTGGTGGGAGGAGGGTATACAGATCCAGAGGCTCTGGGCTCATTTTGTGGGACCATAAGAGTGGCCGCCGACAACAGAGCAGAGGGCCCCACAGCATCCTCAGCCTGAATCAGGCAGACACAGTGCACAGTGGGGGTGTCCCGGAGGACTGTCCGCACACTATTTGGACACACAACATTCTGTTTTGATTTCCCAGGGAAAGGTTGGCCTTGCAGGAGCCTTGTCCTCCTGGGGGCAGTCTCTCATCTTGGCCGGCTCTGAAACTTGCATCTGGAAATACAGGCCTTCACGCAGCCGGGCCCACCTGCCCTGGCGACCCCACCCCCAGATCAAGAGCAGGAAGCTCAGAGGAGGGGAGCCAGAGACCGGATTCTGAGGAGCAGAGGTCAGCAGACTGGAGCTGCTGGTCCCCTGAGGTCCTTACCCGTGTGTCTGGCCTAGCCCCTGACCCCACCAGCCCTGCCCCCAGCCCACGGGAGCCTGGGTGCCCCAGAACCATCAGCTCTGTTGAGACAGGAAACCACGTGACAGGAAGGGAGCCCTCCTCCTCCTACTGTCCCCTCTCCAGAAGAGCCCCCAAGACTGACCTCTTGTGCCCCCACCCCATCCGCTCAGGGAAGGTGGGGCTATGTCCCCAATTATCAGGCAACCCCCCTCACCCTCAGTGTCTGCCAGGCAGACATCTGAGCATATACCTACCCTCTCAGAGCCTGCAGGGCTCTGTGACCTCTGGTCTTTGCCCCACAGGACTTCCACCCTCCCCCACAAAAGCAGTGCTCCCTCCTGGCCAGCCTCCCTGGAGTCCCTGATTTATGCTGCTGGAGCCAACCTTGGAGAAATGGAGGGAAAGAGAGAAAACCAGTCCCAGAGGCTGGAGGGGTGGAGGCCAGGATCCGAGCCCCTGGCAGAGGCTGTCCAGCTGGGGGGCAGTGCATGGACCTTGGGAAAGCTGAAGCCACCCTGGTGGGAGGGGAAGCTGAGTCGGTACAAATGTCTCTGTTCAGGAAATGGGGTTCAAGGAAGGTGGGGGGTGGCTCAGAGCCTGAGGACAGGAGGGGACACTTCCTGGCGGATGCAGGGTCAGAAAAGGGGCGGAAATAGCCAAGACAGCTGCTGAACATCTGGAATCACAGAGAATTACCCAGCACCCTCAAGGATGGTGTTGGGGGGGGAGTGGTGCACACCCACACCCTCTCCTTCCTGCCTCCCTGCAGGGCCAGTCTCAGTCTCTCCTCACACTGCACCCCACCATCAGGATACAGTCTGTGTTGGGTTGAGAAGCCCTGCAGGGGCTGTATCTGATGGGGGCAGAGTTCCCTGGGGCTCAGCTCCCCTTGGTGGTACACAGCCTGCACCATCTCTGTAGACTCCAGTGGGTGGACTGCGCCCCGAGGTGCGCAGGTCAGGGCTCTGCTCCTGTGGTGGTCCCTGGGGTCCCATACACAGACTTGGAAGGATCACTGCATGCCTGGGGCCCAAGGTCCCTCCTGGCTGCGAGCATCTCGGAGCAGGGCCCTACCCTTTCTACCTATAACCCACAGCAACAGGTTTGATATAAGGTGAGTGTTTCATTGCTGTTCAGTCATTCAGCATGTAACAGGCTCACCGCAACCAGGGAGAGTCGATGTAAAAAATTACCCTTCCTTTCTAACTCCTCCCTGGCATCCACAGATACTAACCTAGATGTATCCTTTTCCTATTTGCCTACAAACACGCACAATACACAGTGCTGATGAGGGTGGTCATTTTATCGTTTGCTTTTATAAAAACGGGCATGGTGTGCACATTACAGGGCAGCTTGCTTTCTCATGAGCATCACGCACACTGTGGCTGGCCAGTGGCACGCTCCTCCCTGGGTGCCTGCTGACACCCCAGTGCATCCTCGGTGGTGGGCTCGTGGCTTTCTAGACCCTTCGCCTCTGCAGCGGTGGCTGCCATGAGCACCCTCCTCCAAGGGTCCTGGACTCTGGGTGCTTTTCCCCATACAGGGAGTCCTAAGAGCACCTGTCCGAACCAAAGGGGAGTGTGTGGGGAGCAGGTTGCTTTTCCGCAAGCTTGCGAGGGCCTGAGGCCTATGAGGCAGATTTTCTAAGCAGCCACGCGGGGCAGCTCGGTGCTTCGGGATCCGCGGGTGTGCATGCATTAAGTGCAGCGACTGCCACTCATCCTAACCACTGACTGGGCCGGCGCCAGAAGCCGTTCCGCCGGCCGGGCCATCCAATCCCGCTTTTCGCGGCCCCTGGAGAACCACCCCGCCCCCCGCACCTTTGGGGCCCGCGCCTTCACGAGCCAGAGAGAAACTGTGGCCTGGATCCTGGATCAGCGCTGGGCCTGGGCGACGGAGCTCAGCGCGGGGCGGGCGAGGGGGCGAGTGGCCAGGAGGGGGACTCTCCGCCCCGAGAGTTGGCTCTCGGCCTTGCGGGATTTGCCGCACTTTGCCTCGCCAGTCTGGGACCCCGAAAACCAGCAGTGGGACGGGAAAAGGCAGCGGAGCCCCTCGGGGCCTGACTCCTCCGGGGGCCTCGGGGCACAGAGGTTGCCCTTCCGGCCCCCCAGGTCGCGGGGCCGTCGGCGTTTCTCTCGAGGCGTTGAGGCCGCGCCCAGGCGGAACGGGCCGCCAGAGGGGCAGTCCGTCCCGCCGCCCCGAGGGAACGCCGGGGGAGCGGGCGCCGGCGGCGGGGGATCCGCGGCGAGCGGGCTGCGCGCGTCTCTGGCGGCGGGGCAAGCGCTCCCGCGCAGCCCCGCCCAGCGCCCCGGGGCCCGGGCGGGCCCGCACCCCGCGAGGGGGATGCAGCCTGGGGCGCGAGCACACAGGGTCAGCGAGGGCCGACCGGGTGGTCGCCGGCAGCCGAGAGTCGCGGTCCCGGTGCGGAGTCGGAGGGCGCTGGCCAGGGGACACCCCCCCCCCAGGCCCGCCTTCTTTGCAGCGGGTCTCCCACCTGCCCGAGTGTGTGGGCTGGAAGCCGGCTTCCGTTTAGGCCCAGGAGTCAGGGCTGCGGGCCCTGCAACAAGGCCCCTTCCTGACTTGGATGGGAGCCCTGGGGGCTTGGGCCCCCAGAGTGCAGGGGCCTGGAGGCAGGGTGGGGCCAGCAAGGCCACCGCGCATCATCGTGGACTCAGGTCTCTGGCCTCAGGCCTTGGCACAGACAGCCGGGGCCCCCTGCCCAGCGGGCACGCAGGTGCGGGAGGGGCGCCTCCGGAGCTGCTCCGAACGGATCTAGGTTACGGGCCCCCGCGGCTCCTTCTAAGTCTCTTGCGCAGATTAAAAACGGCAACTGTCCCAGAGCTGACCCCAGGGGACCCTGGAAGTTTCCTCCCCCGTTTTCTCACTGCCCTCTCTGTTCTCAGCGGCGGCTGAACCCCCGGCGGCTGCTCTGAGGCTCCAGCTGCCCCACCTCTCCTGTGCCGAGGCCCCTGGGGAGCCGGCGGTGGTCGAGCCATCCAGCCCTGTCCAGCCCACCTCTGCGGAGGGCCGGCCCAGACAACTAGGCCCTTCTTCCTTCTGCGCCCTCCCCTCTCAGCTGCCCCACAGGCTTCAGGCAGAAAAGTGGGGAGAGAAGGGAGGAGGAAAAGTAGGGAGAGGGGGGCAGCCTGTTTGCCCCTGCCTCACCCAGCCAGCAGCCCTCACCTTGAGTCCTGTGGTTTCTCTAAGGGGGAGGGCACTGCACTGCAGGGTGACCCCACCTAGACCCCATACACACATAGACAGGGAGGCTTCACCACCCCCAGGCCGACCCTGCTCCAGGACAGGGCCGCCCAGGAAGGCAGTGGGTGGGTAAGATGAAGAAGTAGAGGAGAGAGCCCCATTATCCCCCTCCCTGTCCCCTCCCCTGGGGATTGGCACTAACCGCAGGGCCGCCCAACCCGGCAGCTACAAGCTGCTGGGAGCAGGACCCAGCTGCCAGGGGCTCCTGCGCCAGCCCCACCCCTCTGGCTGCGTGGGAGCCCAGGAATGACCACAGGGCTGCCAGGGCCTTTGAAGTGCTCGGGTGCGGCTACAGGAAGTGGGCAGTAGCCCACCCGGGCCCTGGGTTCCCCCCACAAGGGCTCAAGCCCCTGCCCGCCAGCTGGGAGGCCAAGCCTCAAGCTCTCCCCCTGCACTAGGTGCCAGCTGAGTGTGGGGACTGGGGGGGTTGGCAAGGAAGGAAGGGACTGCCAGGCCGCTGCCTCTCCAGCCTCTGGGGCTCAAACTAAGCCCCAGTTTTGCCCAGGCTCCTACAGGGGAGGCAGTGGGGTCAGGAACTAGTCCTTTT